AATAGTCTATGAAGGCTAGACGGGGTATCTTTATCTTGTAAACCTGGACGCTTACGCGTGAGACTGCGTGTGTGACGGAGGGGCTGCAAGTTGAACTAGGGTGAATGTAACCTTGTGTGTCGAGCGATTACCTCGTGCGGTGTGTAAACATCGCCACTAGGGAGACAAAGGCGGCCGGGCATGATGTGGGCAGGCTACTCCCTCGTGCACCGTGCCGGGCTTCATAGGTGCTCGCTGACAGCACTTGCCCCGTGTCTGTTACAGGCTATACGGGTGACCTTTGCTCTTTTTGTTATGGGGAGCGGCAGTGAAGTGGCTTAGCGCACTGCGCTCCGGACCCGTCGACCCGAGTTCAACCCCCGATTTTAAGCCCTCCACTAGATCGACTCAGCCTTAAATAAGTACCCGATGCGAAGTGCAATCATCGCCACTCGGGACACAAAGGCTCCCCCCCCCCACACCCCCCGCGGGCGTGGCGCTGACCAACCTCACCCCCTCGTGCCCCGTCACCGGCACCTCAATGTAGGCGCCACTCGCTAACAGCACTTGCCCCCAGCGGTCCGTTGAAGGCTACACGGGTGATCTTTGCCTTTGTTGCGACAGCCCAGCGGCAGAGAGAACCGTGCCGCCTGACAGGTCGCCTGTGCCACCGTGCAAGAAGCCAAAATACAACTTCCAAACAAAGGTAAAGATCCCCCGTGTAGCCTCTAACAGGCGGTAGGGGGCAAGTGCTGTTTGCGAGTAGCACCTATGAAGGCCGGAACGGCACTCGAGCGGGGTTGGGTTGAGCAACACCACGCCCGGCCGCCTTTGTCTCCCCGGTGGCGATGTTTACACTCACGGCACCAGGTACTCATTTGAGGCCGAGCCGACGTAGGGGAGGCCCAGGACCGGGTCAGAAAATCGTCACTGGGTGTTGTTGGCCGTGAGCGGGAATCCAACTCGGGTCGCGGGGTTCGTTGCACAGCACGCTAAGCGCTACACCACCGCTCCCCACACACACAGGCACACACACATGTACACACACACACGTATTACACACAGACAAAGCTCCCCCGTGTAGCCTGTGATCAGCGAGCACCAATTAATACCGGAAGGGCACGCGAGGGGGCCGATGTGGCCAGCGGTGATGTTTACACACCTCGCCAGCAGGTACTCGATTTGAGGCCGAGTAGACCTGTGGGATGCCCAGACACAGTTTAGATGTTCGTCAACGATGTTGGCCGAGGCGGGAATCGAACTCGAGTCGCGCCCCACGTCAACCACTGCGCCACCGCTCCCCACGCGCACACAAAGACAAAGACCCCCCGTATAGCCTTCAACAGACTGTTGGGGCAAGTGCTGTTAGCGAGCACCTATGAATTTCTGCACGGCACACGAGATGATGGTGGCCAGCACCACGCCCGTGTGACGATGTTGACACACCACACCGGGTTACGCATTTGAGGCTGAGTAGACCTAGAGGAGGCCCAGGAACGGTTTAGATATTCCTCGCCCAAGTTGGTGACCGTGAACGGGACTAGAACTCGGATCGTTTGGTTTGTAGCGTAGCGCGCTAACCACTGCGCCACCGCTCCCCATCAAAGACAAAAACCCCCGTATCGCCTTGTCAGACTGTTGGGGGTGTCTACCGCGACACCACCGCTTCACGCCAAGCAAATCTACAACTCCACACAAACACAAAGGTGTCCTCACTACGTTGCCTGAACGGGGCATCTTAATCCGCGTGTGATGGTGCGTCTGTTTTAATGTGTGTGTGTCAAAGTGACTGTGTGTATCAAAGTGACTGTGTGTGTGTGTATCACAGTAACTGTGTGTGTATCAAAGTGACTGTGTGTGTGTATCAAAGCGACTGTGTGTGTGTATCAAAGCGACTGTGTGTGTGTGTATCAAAGCGACTGTGTGTGTATCAAAGTGACTGTGTGTGTATCAAAGTGACTGTGTGTGTATCACAGTGACTGTGTGTGTATCAAAGTGACTGTGTGTGTATCAAAGTGACTCTGTGTGTATCAAAGTGACTGTGTGTGTATTAAAGCGACTGTGTGTGTGTATCAAAGTGACTGTGTGTGTGTATCAAAGTGACTGTGTGTGTATCAAAGTGACTGTGTGTGTATCAAAGTGACTGTGTGTGTGTATCAAAGTGACTATGTGTGTATCAAAGTGACTGTGTGTGTATCAAAGGGACTGTGTGTGTATCAAAGTGACTGTGTGTATCAAAGCGACTGTGTCATGTAGCCCGCATGCCCAGCCACCGCATGCCGAAACAACTTTTGTTCGGCCGGATCGAGGGCGCTAAACGGGCGCGGCACGGGCTAGAGAAGAGATGGAGCGATGTGGTACAGGAGGACGTGGAGCTGAGTGGACTTGCCGATGACTGGTACCAGCGGTGTCAAGATCGGCCTCTGTGGAGGAGGCTCGTGAAGGACGCTACTGGGCAGTTGGATGCAGTCGCCCTCCAAAAACAACGGAGGGCGGAGGAGCGACGCTCACAACAACGAGCGGAGCGCCGGGTGGCTAAAGCACAGCAGGTTGGCACAGTAGGGGGCAGAGGTGGTGCATCAGCCAGTCATCTCGGTCATCTTAGTCAGTCGACCCGTGGCACCTGGGTCTGCCCTGTGACCTTCTGCCAGCGGGCGTTCGACACTTCACGTGGCCTCAAGGTGCACATGGCCTGGCACAAGCGTCGTGGTGACGTCACCGCCGTTGTTGTTGTGTGTATGTCAAAGTGACTGGGGTTGTGCAGAGGTCGTGCGGTAGCTGCGCTGCCTTTCGCACCGTACGGAGCGCCAACCGTGCCAACCAGAGGTGCGCGTGGGTGGGGGGGGTGGGCACGAGATAAACACGAACCCGGCGACCCGAGTTCGATTCCCAACACCAGTGACTATAATCTGAAACGAGTGCGTAAACGTCGCCACTCGGGGAGACAAAGGCGGCCGGGCGTGGCGCTGACCACCCAGACCCTCGTGTGCCGTGCCGGCCTTCATAGGTGCCACTCGCTAACAGCACTTGCCCCAACAGTCTGTTAATATATACGCGCGTCAGATTGCCTGTGCGTGACTGTACACACGATTGGGTGCCTGACTGGGTGCCTGACAGGGTGCCTGGCTGACTCGGTGCGTGTAGCGGGGCCAATGCGTGTGCGACTCTTTTTTATGCGATGGAGCAGCGGATCCACTCACCTAGGTGACCACCGCGTGACTCCGTGATGCGAGGACTGCATTTGACCTTGTGTCTCTGTGAGTGGACATATTCACGTGTGTCTGTGTGTGTCATTGTGTCTCTGTGAGTGGACATATTCACGTGTGTCTGTGTGTGTCATTGTGTCTCTGTGAGTGGAAATATTCACGTGTGTCTGTGTGTGTCATTGTGTCTCTGTGAGTGGACATATTCACGTGTGTCTGTGTGTGTCATTGTGTCTCTGTGAGTGGACATATCCACGTGTGTGTGTGTCTGTGTGTGTCATTGTGTCTCTGTGAGTGGACATATTCACGTGTGTGTGTGTGTGTCTGTGTGTCTCTGTGAGTGGACATATCCACGTGTGTGTGTCATTGTGTCTCTGTGAGTCTGGACATATCCACGTGTGTGTGTGTGTGTCATTGTGTCTCTGCGAGTTTGGACATATCAACGTGTGTGTGTGTCATTGTGTCTCTGTGAGTGGACATATCCACGTGTGTGTGCCTGTATGTGTCATTGTGTCTCTGTGAGTGGACATATACACGTGTGTGTGCCTGTGTGTGTCATTGTGTCTCTGTGAGTCTGGACATATCCACGTCTGTGTGTGTGTCTGTGAGTCTGGACACATCAACGTGTGTGTGTGTCTGTGTGTGTCCTTGTGAGTCTGGACATATCCACGTGTGTGTGTGTGTCATTGAGTCTGGACATATCCACGTCTGTGTGTGTCCTTGTGAGTCTGGACACATCAAAGTGTGTGTGTGTGTCTGTGTGTCTGTGTGGGGAGCGATAGTGTAGCGGTTAGCGCGCTGCGCTGTGAACCTGGCGACCCGGGTTCGATTCCCGCTCACGGCCAACACCAGTGACGATTATCTGAACCGGTCCCGGGCCTCCCCTAGGTCGACTCAGCCTCAAATGAGTACCTGGTGCGGTGTGTAGTAAACATCGCCACTGGGGAGACAAAGGCGGTCGGGCGTGGTGCTGGCCACCCACCCCCTCGAGTACCGTTTCGGCCTTCATAGGTGCTCGCTAACAGCACTTGCCCCTACAGTCTGTTAAGGCTATATGGGGGATCTTTGTCTTTGTCTTTGTGTGTGCCCTTGTGAGTCTGGACATATCCACGTCTGTGTGTGTGTCTGTGTGACCTTGTGAGTGTGCGTCAGTGCGACAACTGTCGTCCGTGTGACACGAAGTAACATACAAAGACAAAGATCCCCCGTAAAGCAGTTAACAGACTGTTGGGGTGGCCAGCATCACGCCGGACCGCCTTTGTCTTCCGAGTGGCGATATTTACACACCACATCAGGTACTCATTTAAGGCGGAGGACCGGTTCAGATAATAATCACTGGTATTGGCCGTGAGCGCGAATCGAACTCGGGTCGCCGGGTTTGCAGTGCTGCGCGCTAACCACTACACCACCGCTCCTCACACACGACCGCTAGCACCACCGCCACGACCACCAGCACGACCACCAGCACCACCACAACAACCAGCACCACCACCACCGGTACCACCACCAGTATATGGACTACCACAACCAGCACCTCCAGCACCATCACGACTAGTATCAGCACCATCACCACCAGCACCACCACCAGCACCACCAGGACTCACCACCAACAACCGCCACCACCATCACCACCACCAGCACCACCACCACCAGCACCACCACCAGGACTCACCACCAACAACCGCCACCACCAGCACCACCACCACCAGCACCACCACCAGCACCAGCACCACCACCAGCACCACCACCACCACCAGGACTCACCACCAACAACCGCCACCACCAGCACCGCGACCAGCGCCCAGGCAGGCGTCTCACCTTCGTATAAACCCCCCACGACAGCTCCGTCTCGATCACCATCACCACGATGCCGAACATGCCGAATATGAGCGCGTAGTCGCTCAGCCGTTTCCGCTTCTCGAAGAGCGCCCGCCGGAGTCCCAGGCGGTAGCCGATGTTGTGTTTTTTGGGTTTCTCCTCCTTCGAGATGGACACGGACCTCGAGGCGGGCCCGGCAGCCGCCGCCGCCGCCGCTGCTGGTGGTGGGCGAATGGGGTTCGTCTGCTCGATCCTGCCACCCACGGTCGCCGCTGCTGCTGTTCCACCACCACCAATACCACCAACACCGCCGCCCGAGTCACCACTCGACACCACCGGCGACTGAGAAGCCACGAGTTCTGGCTGGAGCCTCTGAGCTTCTGGATCCTGGTTCAGAGACTCGCCCTTCCTCGCCACGCTGGAGTTGCACATGGGCCTCATGACACCCCCGTTGTACCTGCAGCTGCTCATTGCTGCGCCGCTGCTGCTGCTGTTGTAGTTGGTGGTGTTGGTGGTGGTGGTGTCGACTGCTGATGCTGCTTCTGCCGGTGCTGCGCGCTGCCAGCCAACACTGCCGCCCAGACTTCTGGCAGGAGCGCCAGTCCTGCTGCCGATGCTGCTGATGATGATACTGCTGATGATGATGCTGCTGCTGATGACACTGCTGATGATGATACTGCTGATGATGCTGCTGCTGATGATGATGCTGCTGCTGATGACACTGCTGATGGTGCTGATGGTGCTAGTTTTAACGCTGCTGCCGATGATGCTGCCACCGATTCTCCGCCTCCGCCCCCGTCGCCGCGAGAGATGATGAAGGTGAAGGTGGTGCTGCTGATGATGATGGTAACAGCGGCTGTGGTGCTGGTGGTGGCGGCGGCGTTGCTGATGATGCTACGGGGCGCTGGGGTCCGACCCGGCGCCCGCATGATGCTCATAAAGCGACTGCTGCTGCAGCTGATGATGATGATGATGCTGCTGCTGAGTGCTTCTACCGGCCACAGAAGCGGGGCGAGAGATTTTCAATCGCGCTCCGGGTGACGGCGAACGCGGATAATCCGCTTCGGGTTTTTGAGAGGGGGATTTTTTTTCTTGGCTTCTCCCCACCCCTCCTCTATCCTCTCCGGATTTCCCTGCCCACCCCTTCTCCTCTCTCCCACCCTTCTCCTCTCTCCCTCCCCTTCTCTCTCCCTCCCCACCCTTCTCTTCTCTCCCTCCCCTTCTCCTCTCTCCCTCCCCTTCTCTCTCCCTGCCCACCCCTTCTCCTCTCTCCCTCCTCCAATCCACAATCCATCGTCCACCCTCCACCCCGCCCTCCCCCCCACCTCCTCCCCCCCACCTCCTCCCTCCCACCTCCTCCCCCCTCCTCCTCCCCCCCCACCTCCTCCCCCGCCCTCCCCCAACTCCTCCCCCGCCCTCCCCGCGCGCCTTCGCCCAATGTCGCTCCGCTCCGCGATGTCCCCGGGGCTCCCGCGCCGGGTTTTGTCTTGTTGTGTGTGAATTGGAATGACGTAATGAGGTGATGGAGAGAGCCGGACACGTGCTCAGGCGCAGGATGGGCGATTCCCCCCACCACTGCCCCCCACCCCCACCACACCCCACCCCTCCCCCCACCTTAATTGGTCATTGGGAGTGGGCACGAGTAATGGATGACGATTATGCTAATGATGATGGTGGTGATTTTGATGGTGGTGGTGATGATGATCATGATGGTGATGGTGATCATGATGGTGGTCATGTTGATGGTTGTCATGATGGTGCTCATGATGTTGGTGATAGTGGTGATGATGGATATCATGATGGTGATATTCTTTGGTTCTTTCGCTAAATTCAAGTAGATAGAAAAAGAATAATAAAAATAAAGTTAATGCAAATAATTTAAAAAACACGAATGTAAACTGTAGCCTGGTTCTTAATCGGAGTGAGTGTACTGACAGTCTATAATGTAGACTGTAGTAATGATTATTAAGCTGGGTGAGTGTACTGGCAGTCTATCATGTAGACTGTAGCCTGGTTTTTAATCTTGGTGAGCGTATTGGCAGTCTATAATGTAGACTGTAGCAATGGTTCTTAACCTGAGTGAGCGAACTGACAGTCTATAATGTAGACTTATTCTTGGTTCTTTCGGTAATAAAAAGAAAATGAAAATAAAAATATATGTAAAAACATTAATCACGACGTTTCGATCACAACACACGCGATCGAAAAAAAAATATTTCTTTATTTGATTTTTTTACCGAAAGAACCAAGAATACGTCTACAAGCTGCAAGTACACTCAATCCAGCTTAATAACCATGCTACAGTCTACATTATAGACTGCCAGTGCACTCACTCAGATTAATAACCATGCTACAGTCTACATTATAGACTGCCACTACACTCACCCAGTTTAAAAACCATGCTACAGTCTACATTATAGACTGCCAGTACACTCACCCAGTTTAATAACCAGGCTACAGTCTACATTATAGACTGCCAGTACACGCACCCAGCTTAATAACCATGCTACAGTCTACATTATAGGCTGCCAGTACACTCACTCAGCTTAATAACCATGCTACAGTCTACATTATAGACTGTCAGTACACTCACTCAGTTTAATTACCAGGCTACAGTCTACATTATAGACTGTCAGTACACTCACTCAGCTTAATAACCAGGCTACAGTCTACATTATAGACTGTCAGTACACTCAGTTTAATAACCATGCTACAGTCTACATTATAGACTGCCAGTACACTCACCCAGTTTAATAACCAGGCTACAGTCTACATTATAGACTGTCAGTACACTCACTCAACTTAATAACCATTACTACAGTCTACATTATAGACTGCCAGTACACTCACTCAGTTTAATAACCAGGCTACAGTCTACATTATGGACTGTCAGTACACTCACTCAGCTTAATAACCAGGCTACAGTCTACATTATAGACTGTCAGTACACTCACCCAGATTAAGAACCAGGCTACAGTCTTCATTAGTGTTTATTTAATTTATTTTTCTTTTGATTCATTTCATTTTTTTATCATTATTACTTTTCTATCTACATGACTTTACCGAAAGAACTAAAGAAAATTGATTCCTGCAGTCACGAAAGTTTTAAGTCGGTGATCATAATGTTGGTGATAGTGGTGATGATGACGTTGATGACCATGATAGTGATCATGGTTGTCGTAATGGTGGTGATGATCATGATGGTGTTCATAGTGGGGGTGGTGATGGTGGTGGTGATAATGATGATAGTGATCGTGATGATGATCATGATGGTGGTGTTGATTGTGGTATTGATGGTGATCATGATGGTGGTGATGATGTTGTTGGTGGTGGTGATGTTGATTATGGTGATGATGATGTTGATGATGGTGATGGTGATGTTGATGATGGTGATGTTGATGATGGTGATGATGATGTTGATGATGATGTTGATGATGGTGATGATGATGATGTTGATGATGATGTTGATGATGTTGATGATGGTGATGATGATGTTGATGATGGTGATGATGTTGATGATGGTGCTCTTGGTAACGAGGTGTGCGTCGCTGTTGCGATGATGACGAGAGTAATGTCGTAGTCATTGATTATTTAATTATCACCGTCGCAGTGATTATAATCATCAACACAATCACCACCATCGCCCATCACCATCCAGCCATCATTACAATCACTATAATCATCTCATCATTATGTGATTATTGTAAACATCTTCCAAATCATCATCCTCATCAACATCCCATCATCAGAATCATCATCCCAAACGATTTTCACAGTCATTTCCATCATCATCACCATCATCCAAAACGATTTTCACAGTCATTTCCATCATCATCATCATCCGAAACGATTTTCACCGTCATTTCCATCATCATCCGAAACGATTTTCACCGTCATTTCCATAATCAGAATCATCATCATCATCATCCGAAACCATTTTCAGTCATTTCCATCATCATCATCCGAAACGAGTTCTACAGCTATCTCCGTCATCATAATCTCTTAACCTCCCCCCACACCCCCACCACCACCAACCCTCCCTTCCCTCGGAGACAATTACACACCAACCAGAGTGCTGATGAGTGTGCACACAACATCCATTACATCATCATCAGTAAATCACCATGAATTGCATAGTTACCCCCTTTATTTGGCTACGTACGGTGCGAAAGAAGTTCAACATATATATTGAATATGATTCGCGGTCAAGTTGCCGCCTTTGTCTCCCCAGCGCCGGATGCTCCACACACAGCGCACCAGGTACTCATTTAAGGCCCAGTCGACCTACGCGGAGGCCCACGACCGACCGGTTACCGACGTTCGTCACCGGTGTTGGTAGTGAGCGGGAATCGAACTCGGGTTCGTAACGCAACGCGCTAATCCCTACGCCACGGCTCCCCACCCAACAGCAGCCGCCATTCGCCACGAAGTGGCGGTGACGTCACCACAGGGCATGTGCCAGGCTAGGTGCACTTTGAGGCCAAGTGAAGTGTACAAGGCTTCCTGCGGGGTGCGAGCTCACGGGACAGACCCAGGCGCCATGCGTTGACTGACCGAGATGACTGATGCACCACCTGTGATCCTTCACTGCACCAACTCGCTGCGTTTTCATCGGCCCGTGGCTCCGCCCGTTGTTGTGAGCGTCGCTCCTCTGCCCTCCGCAATGTTGAAGGGCGGCTGCCTCCAACTGCCAAGTGGCAGCGTCCTTCACGAGCCGCCTCCATAGAGGCCGATCTTGACACCGCTGGTACCAGTCGTCTGCTCCACGTGTTTCTGTACCGCATTAGCTCCATCTCTTTTCCAGCCCGTGTTTAGCTCCCCTCTATCCGGCCAAACAGAAGCTGATTGGACATGTAGCGTCTGGGCATGCGAGCAACGTGACCCAGCCAACCGCAGCCTCCTCGCCTGCAGTAGCATCTCACCCGTGATGGGGAAAAAAATATTCCTTAATTTGTGTGTTCGCGCGTTGAACTTCCTTCGCACCGTACGTAGCCAACCGTGCTCGTCGGAGGTGCGAGGGGAAGGAACAACAATCATTGATCTCTCGACCATCTGTGAGCTCCTCACACAATCCAGTGTGTGCAGGCTGAACCCCACGCAGGATGGGACCGTACACAGGGCCAGCCTGAATGTTTCTAACCAACTCCCCTACACACACGCACCTACACACAACAACCGCCATTCGCCACTAAGTGGCGGTGACGTCACCACGACGCTTGTGCCAGGCCATGTGCACCTTGAGGCAACGTGAAGTGTCGAACGCCCGCTGGCAGGAGGTCACGGGGCAGACCTAAGTGCCACGGGTCGACTGACTAAGATGACTGAGTTGACTGGCTGATGCACCTGTGCCCCCTACTATACCAACCTGCTGTGCTTTATCCATGCGGCGCTCCGCTCGTTGTTATGAGCGTCGCTCCTCCGCCCTCCGTTGTTGTTGGAGGGCGACTGCCTCCAACTGCCCAGCAGCGTTCTTCACGAGCCTCCTCCACAGAGGCCGATCTTGACACCGTTGGTACCAGTCATCGGCAAGTCCACTCAGCTCCACGTCCTCCTGCACCATATCACTCCATCTCTTCTCTAGCCCGTGCCGCGCCCGTTTAGCCCCCTCGATCCGGCCGAACAAAAGCTGTTTCGGCATGCGGTGGCTGGGCATGCGGGCTACATGACCCAGCCAACGCAGCATTGCCTGCCGGAGGAGCTCACCGATGGGACCTTGCCCAGATCTTTCAAGAATTTGTGAGCTCCTCACACAATCCAGCCTGGTTAAACCCAGCATGGATCGTAGGCAGGCTAGCCTAAATGTTTCTAACCGGCGAAGATGTTCCATTAAGGGGATCCACGTTTCGCAAGCCTAGAGAAGGGAGGGAATGACCGTGGCCGAGAAGATCTGAAGCTTAGCGCCGAGCGACAGACCAGGTAGCTTCCACACAGCGTTACGCAACCGATTAAAAGATATTGCCGCTCGACTGATTCCGAGTGAAACCTCTGCTGTTAAACTGGAGCCGGTCATAAGCACACTGCCCAGGTATGGGAAACTCTCCACCCTCTCCACAACTGCCCCATCACCGATTGGGAGTTGTGGGGGTGGAGTGTCCGATGGTAC